CTTGACTTTGTATGTTATATTTTCCATAAATATTCAGTTGCACGAACCTGCTTTATTAATCACTAGTACGTTGTTGTTATTGTTGGCAGTTTCCATAATCCGTTCAGTCATCAATAGTAACCGCTGTCACTGTTGACAGCGAAGTAGTAGCTAACCCGTGGCCACCCCCCCCCCCCCCTGTATAAGCAAAACTAAATCAACGACAGAGGCTTTCAAAATCACGTCATTCGGGTTTCTATCCATACCACTGGACAGGCTCCCGAATGGAACGGTAACAATAACAAATCCGTGATCGCGCCTCGCAAGGTCAAGTACATTTACATTAAACCCGCAGAATAATAATAAAAAACTATGTGGCTATCAAGATATTTTTTGTCATTAGAATAAAACGTTGTATAAAAGTCAAATCTAGATCAAAGGGTATCACCCGGTTTATTCCGACCTTTGACGCAACTGTCAAATGGTTGCCAAGCAACTACCTACCGGCAACCATGTTAAGGTCGGAGAATTGCGTGATGTCCACAACACTCAGTACTAAAAATAGATCTTTGTCCATGAAAGTGCTAGTAATTAGTGACTATAACCTCATTATCGGGCGACATTCACGTCATGGTGACATTGATGTTCATGTGTTTCTCGCCCGTACAGAAAATATTATATGCAGTAAGCGATATTTGTTATAAATAGACTACAATAGGGTACGCCAGCGTCGAATTAGAACATACCGTATCAAGTAAATATGTATTGTTATACATCTGTCACCGTAACGCCATAATTTACAGCATGCCATGATTTTGCGGTATTTTACGGGATATTTTCATCCTACCATTTAAGAAAATGCTAATTCCAAATATGGAATGATTACGCGCGTAATGAAAACAAACATGGCTCAGTGCCACCCGGGTTTGACCGGACTTCACACAAAGAAGTTCGCTGATTCTGTTCTGCTCTAAACTTTTTGGATTTCGGCATTATCATGATGTACCCTTGGAAGGAAAAGGTGTATGATAACAATAGGGTTATTACGAGGATACCTCAAAGTATGCACGAAGACAGTACAGCAGCCTGAGTATCCGTCGACCGACGCACATCGTAGGTCGATGCGACGCCGGGTGGGGGGGGGGGTACTCGCAAAAAATACTGACAGGGGTGCGTAGCTGGTTGTTTAAAACCCCTACCCCTTATCAGACAGAAATAAACGCAAATTGCCTACCACTTTTCAGACAGACTGTGGATATTTGACACCCGTTTCCAGACAGTCAGCATAAATGGTACTAAGGGACAAGCAGGTGAGCTTGAAAGAAAAATGCAAAATGCTTTGACGATCGAAATGAAGTTACAAAAAGACAAATCAGGTCCTCAAGCTCTAGAGACAGTCTTTGGAAAATATGGACCCATTTTCAGACAGAAATAATGAAAAAAAGATACTCCTTCACAGGTTAAAATAACATGCAGAAGAAGTGGTGAATTTGGGACCCATTTTGGCGGCACATATGCATATAGCACTTCATGCGGGATGAGACGGCGTACTGTCTGAGTTATTACTTAATTATTATTACTAAAATGATGAACATCAATAATGCAAGTTTGTGTAAAGCGCTAAAAATAAATATATAATTGTAGAATAATAACAATTACATGAAGAAGTGTTATTTGAAACTAATTGAGTTTAAAAATTTAATAAACTAAAAAAAAGCACACTGTTTAAATTAAAAACATGTGTATTATATTATTAAACATCTGTATTTTCTATCACAACGAAATACACTTTTTCAAAATAAAAAAAAACTGAGTGTTCTACGAGGACATAAATGTGTTATTAAAGTGTGGAATAATGTGACCAATGTTATGTCAGCAGTACTAATAACAATCAGTGAGTTTCATGTGTTATGATGTCACGAAATTCAAATACTTTATCCGGCATCAACATGTCAGTGACATCCAAGACACCAGATTGTCGAAGACAGTGCTAATTTATAAGACACATTTGTATTCATGGGACACTTTTCTCTCAAACACTTCAGAAAACAAACACACATGCACTGTTTTAACCTAACACGCCCGACTATACACGTTTCATAAGTGTTTATGTACACAAGTTCATAAGACACTTTTCTTCCAAATTGTTTTATTTCCAATAAGCACTTCAATGTTTCAACCTAGTCTATCGACACATCTTTGTCATCTTTATATGTTTATGTATTTTGCGCGTGTGTCTACCGTGTACCTGTAATAAGTTTAGATTGAACATACACGAAGCTGGTGTCAAAGCTCAAGTTAGTAAACCGAATGACGCAGCGCTGAACATGCGTCAATTCCCTATGGTCTAATCAATAGATTCATTTTCTATTGGTGGAGCCTCAGCGTTGAATGCCATCTAATGTGATTACTACACACCTGTGCGATTTTGCGCACAGTCTAAATGAGCCCCTCTAATGTTAATAGTATAAACATAAATATTTTACTATTATTCAGAAATTTCATAAATACAATATGAAAACTAATATTGAACAATAATTAAAGGTTACTACATTTTTGTAAGACACCTTTCGGAAAAAATGAACACTATTTATGTGTTCAAGTAACTGGTAACTTGTGTCGTGTGCACGCTCATTCAACCATTAGAATATACTATCAGGAGCATGTGGACAGGTTCGTTAAAAAAACACAACAATTTGGACCGATTGCTTTTTAGATTTACTGAGAATAGCGGTAACCAGAAGATATCTTAAATAACAATGAAGTTATAGTGGAATTTTTACATCATTATAAAACGTGTGGAAAAATGTAATTGATAGAGCTAACATCGGCAACTGTGTACTGTATGGTCATTCGCAGCGGCCTCTATTCATTTAATTATGTGCGGGTTGGTACGGTACTTGATTTAACACAAATTCATGCATTTACAGGACCCGAGAAATGCATACTGCATATATTCTTTGCTGACATCCTCCGAGTCATGAGTCATAAACAATTATGATGATAAATAATTACCTACTATATTTTTATAATATTGTGTCATATTTTAAAATGCTTAGATTTACATTGCAATCGTTTCTCCCGTCATATCTCGAATTCAAAAAAAAAGCAGTGACGTAAATACAAACATATTATTTTCACAGAAACATGCTCACTAGAAATAAATTTATTTTAATCTAATCCCATTCTTAGCTCAATCTAAGAATCTGCATATATACACTACATCCATTCTATTTAATCACCTTTCGCTTTTTCAATCCGTTCAAAGCATCATTTGATTGATCTTTTAAAATCACCCTTAAAAGTATATTTACTTTATATTATTTTCACAGAAACATGCTCACTAAAAATACTTTGTAAAAGTATATTTACCTATGACACAGGGGACGAGGATACAGAATCAATAAACATCCATATTAACAGGACAAAATTAATTCCCAATACATGTATTAGCCAATATTACAATGACAATATAAAGTCATCTCGTTCGCTCCGATCTTTTCTTTGAAATTTGAAAAAAAAAAATATGACCTTATCAAATAAGTAATGTTTAATCATCATTATTTTGAGCAATGCGTTATTTGAATCAGAAATATGTAATGTAAAATATTATTATTATTATAAAGTAACGCACATGTAATTTGGAGACATTGAACTGCATTCTCATGATAAACTCTGCCTAACGTTTCTATGATTTTATTTAGTGACTCGCGTCTATAAGGGATGTCGGTAAGGAATTTATGTAGTGTAGAATTCTTCTGTCCTGTAAATAAATGAACTTGAGTTAAATCAGTTACCGCACCAACCCGCACATAATGAAATGAA